GGGGAGCAGAGCGGGCAGGAAAGCTGAAGGGCGGACTGCAGGATGTAGCCTTGTCTGGGTGATGGAGGGGTAGGTGGTGTGGAGGATGAGAAGGCAGTACCTGTGCAAGGAGCGTCGCTGGAGCAGGAGCTGTGAAGTGGAACAAGTCTGGGCCAGCATATGTGTGTTAAGGAACTGGAGTATGACTGGCAGGCAGTGTTGGAAGGGAGGGAGCAGCACTGCCCTGGTGCCAAACCTGGCAGGGGAGAATGGGAAATTCTCTACCAGCCTGGACACTCTAGTATGAGGGATGCTTTCTTCCATAGAATTAGTGAGCAGCCCCTGGGAATATGGGAAGACTTTAAAGAAAAACAGGTGAACAATAAATACTAAACTGCATCTGGTTCTGGACTTGAGCACACTGCACAGAGCAGACTAAAAGATTGAGTCCTAATCAACAGGGTTTTAGATGGACAGGAGATTGGTAGGCACCAGTGTGTGTAAATGATACACAAATCTGACAAGGCTGAGAATGACCTAGATCTGAGAGATGCCAGGTGGAGGTTGTCCACTGTAGAGAAACATGCATCAAATGTAGATAGTTCTGTGCCAGAGAAAGCTTTTCAGAGGTACACATCTCTGTTTTACAGATTCAGAGAAGAAACAGGGATAAAGGGCCTACGTAAGAGGAAGCAATGAATCCTTGTTGAAGCATCAGACAGCAGGTAAGAAAGCCAGGAATAAGCTGATGCTGAGTCAGACTGTGTTCTTTTGATCACCCTACCTGAATTTTTTGAGAATATGTGAACTACATACCTGAAGCCCTTTCTGTGATGTTCTCTGCATCATAGTAGGCCTACATGGCCTGAATTGAGAGGCTCGGGGTGTCAATGAAATGGATGTGACTCTGAAAAAATCAGTAAGAGCCCCTGGAAAGAAAAGCTCGGTTAAAGATGTAAGCCAGTGAGTGCTCTTTAGGCAACATCCAGAGAAGCAGTCTCAAGTCTGTTCTGCCACTGCTGAAATATGTGTTCTCTGTGTAATCACAAGAGGTCTACCCAGCCAGAATCCCACTGAAATCCTTTCCAGTGGTCCTGCTCTTGCAGTAATTGTGATGCCAGAGTTTGGTAATTCTAGGGCTCCTCTGTTCTGTTAGATTATTTCTTCCAGCACGTTGTTTTTTCCACTTGTATGTTAACTGATCCCTGATGGGTGGTGCACGTGTAGCACTGGCCTTTCTGTTGTCTCCTGAACTCACTGTTGGGATCCAGTTTAGAGGGACACCTATTTGGTACTCAGTAACTGGATCCTTTGAGTTGTTCATACCTTTCAGTTACTTGGCAAATCACTTTTAGTACAACTCCTTTCTCTTTTCTTCACTTCTTGGTGAATCACTGCAGAAAGCATTTGTATCCCAACAGTGCTTTACATACAGCATGTTTCAGCTTCTGGGTGTTAAGTCGGCATTTAAGCTAACGAGTCTTGGCTGTGATATCAGAAGCTTTTGACTTTCTATTCCTTCGCAGGCACCCAGTGCTCTTTAAATCATGGGAATGCATTTCAGCAGGGCCAGCTGCAGTTCTAAAGTGCAGTCCATTACTCTTTTCATCCTTAATATGAACAAGGAATTGGGTCAGGAGGGGATGAGGGACATGCCAAGACCCGTTGTCTCCTCAAACCAGCTTTCTGAGCCAAAAATGACCTTGCATTCTTTTCCAATCTGTTTCAAGTAGTTTGCTGGCTGCTGCTAAGTCACTTGCTTTACAGCTTTCAAACCCTGAATTCTTTTCCCTGTGATTCACTGTAAGTACAAGTATGTAGGGGAAATAGGCTATAGCTTTAAAAGAGGTCTGCCCCCTTTTTGTCCCAGAGCCAGACAAATAAGATCTGATGGGACAAGTGATTTTTGATCAATGCGCTGGTGTGAATGCTACCACAGCTGGCTTGGAGAAAGGATTTGTGGCACGTAAAGTGCTTTTGAAAAGGCGAAGAAAGCCAAGCTGTTTGAACAATAGCAAAATAAAGACGTTTCAGTAAACTGTGACTATATTTTTTGGTAGTTGTTTGAAGTAGACTTGATGTTTGTGAGTCATGGAGGCTGGTGATTTTTCTGAAGGTGAGCTCCCTAACCTGTTAAAGTGTCTGCTGTGTTTTACGGAGGATCCACTGAAAATTGGACTCTCTGAGATTTCCATGTGTCACCATATCTACACCATAGTCCTGAGAAATGGTTAGATCATACTGAGTTTACTGTATTGCACCCTTGTTAGCAAGGGCCTAGCTCTTACAGCACAGTGTGACAAGAATGGTGTAGAAGTGGCTGATAACCCTCTGCCTTTCATATTGCTGGCAGAAATGCAATGTGTGTGGGTCTCAAATGAGTCTGCATGTGATACAGTTTGAGGGCAGGATTCTTCTGCTAAGAAATGCAGACTTGGCTTGATACCTTTTTCACTCATCTCTGCTTGTTTGGCTGACGTTGCCAGGAACTGGGATTGTCGTAATAGAGCAGATTTTCTTGGCTGTTTGACTTGGTTGATGCTTTGCGAGTAAATTTAAAGTCCTAAAGCTGGGAACGTTCATTTCCTTGCTGGAAGGCTTTGGCTGGGAAGACATCCCTTGTTAGTATGACACCTTGAGCTACAGAGTGAGAGCTTGTGGCATTTGTGCTAACTGTGTGTATTTCAAGTTACTAGTAACTGGGTAAATATGATCCTCTCTGAAATTCATTTTACACAGGACTGCAAAGGAACTACACACGTGATCTCTGCAAACAGGACTAATGCCTTAGGGCATGAAATCGTCCATCCTGTTTCCCTGCCAGTTCCCCTACTTGAGCGCTTTTCCTTAGATCTAGATTGGCTGGCTGTAACTGTAGCAGGAAGAATGTTACTTTTTAAAATTGAAGTACCTTTACAGCTGGTTGGAGGGGAAGGATGGCTGTGCATTCAGAATTCTGAACTGCCATGTAGGATACCTAATTTCTGCCACAGATTTATTGTGTGAACGTGTTTGGATCATTACAGCTTTTTGCTCTTCATTCTTTGGTTGCAAAACACAATTAATACCCATCTTATTGGGGATTTGAGGAAGAGTCCATAAGTGTCTATAAGATGCGTGGATACTGTGATGTTGTGTGCTTTAGTAAATAAAGCTTGGTGGAGGAAAGATGAAAAGGATATTCCAAGCTGTGGCTTCAAAATGAAGCTGACCACTGTGTGATCCACTGTCCTGTGTATTCTGTAGAACGGTAAAATTGCTATAGAGTGTAAGTCAGGCCCTGCCTTGTATAAGATGAGTGGGCGCTCTGAGATCCCACACTTTCTTTCCTTCCCAGGAGTGATGTGCTTGTTTCCAGAGCTTGTAGTGCCTTATCTGTCTGTTTTTTTGACTTTCATTAATCTTTTATCTTTTTTTTCTGCTTGTTTGTTCCAGACACAGAAATTGTTCTTTTCATTGCTAGAACATTCATGTATGGTATTAATGCTCATATGCTGAGACACAATGGGCCAAGAGCAGCAGCTTGCAGGCTGCCTCATATTTGGAATGACATGAGCTGCCCTCTCTGTAGTGTCCTCCTGGGAGCTATGCTTAGGAAGGAAATGGCATGAAAGGCCTTGTAGAAGTGTGAGAATAGCATTGCAATGGTTGGAATGCAGAATAAGCATCACTTGGGTGGGCTCAGTTTTCCTCTGCTTTTCAATGATGCTGCGTGCCAAGCCTGAGGAAGACGGCTGTGCAGAGGTGAAGGGGCTGGAATGTGTTCTTCAGTTGAGGTGAGTGCAATTCAGTGAAACTGATAGGCATCAAACTGAATAATGATTTTAAAGTATTTTCACATGATGTCTAATCTGTGGAAATTCACTACCACATAATAGCACTGAGGCTAAGAGCTGAGCGGGATTCAGAAAAGATCAAGCACTTATAAGTGGAAATGTTCAGACTTGCTTTAGCTAAGGAACTCATTTTAGAAGGTGTATTTTTCAGACATAACCTGATCTCAAACAGGTAAAGGTTTGAAGAAAGGGCAGTTTGTTCCATAACTGTCCACTAGGGCTTCTTGCTCCATCTTCTAAACCACCTTGTATTGGCCTATGTCAGAGACAAGGTATTGAATCATGCTTATTGGCTATGTTAGGTTGCCCACTAACCTTTCTTCTTGTGATAACTGCATTAGGGGGAAGAAAAACCACCAACCAAAAAACAAGCCCACAGAGCACTCCAGCTGCTCTGATTAGGCCTGGTAGTTGAGGATTTTAAGCTTGTGGAGAGCAGTCTTCTTGGAAAGATATTGCAGTCCACAGATGAGGACTGTCTTATTCATAAATGTGAAGGCATGTAAGTATTCTCTTCGCACCAAATGGTCAGGAAAAGTGCTTTGTGCTTCTTGCCCCTGCTTATGAGGGGGAAAAGAATGTGTGGAGTTTGGCCTCTCCACGTTGCAGTCTTGTAGTGGACTTTAGTCTGGAAGTCAGCTGAAAGGAAGGGCTTTTTAAGGTTGTTCAAGCGAGAATCCAGTATGTTGTAGCGTGAGCCAATAAGTATTACTGTCTGGAAAGACATGGTCTGTGTCCTGTGCTCATGTCCAATCTGTGTTGAGGATCAAGAGATTCATCAGTGCTGCTTGGTCAAGTAGGCATAAATTCGATTTGGTGGACAGGCTAACAAAAGTAAGTGGCAGTGGTAGGGAGATATGTATAAAATGATGTTTGTTTGTAGCGTTTGCCTAAGTGCAGGGGAGGCTCCTGAAGGAAAGTGTGTGTGTGGGGGGGTTCAGAGCTAGGAGCAGGTCATGCAAACCTTGAGATCCCTGTATGGATACCCTCCCTATGGGCTGTTCTGGGAACAAAATGAACTTTAGGGCAGAACATAACCCTTCTGTGGCAGGCATAATGACTGTGAGTAAAGGGTTACTGACTTTCACAGAGGTTTTGTGATGCTGAGAAAGTGAAATGGGTCAGGACTGGAAAGTAAGGATTCCTGCAACGGTTAGGCTGGTTTTTAGGCACAGAGGATCTGACCTGCTGCTAGTGGCAAGAGAGAACTGGCTTAAATTTCTGATTTCTAGGGGTCAGCAAATTCAGAACTGATGTCTGTGTGTTTGGCTGAGTTCTATATTTGTATTTTGGCTCTGCAATAAAGCTGGCTTTGGCAATGTTGTAGAAGTCATAACTGGATTTTCTTACTCTTGTGTTTAAAGTCCTAGTTGTTCAGCTACATTAATGTAACACTCATGCATGAATGGTTCTGAAATCAAAAGGGACAAATGAGGTAGCTTCTCTATTAGGGAATCACACTTAGGCTCATAAGAAACCTCAGGCGAGTTTTACTTTATGGCATTTATTTCAAAAGAATGTTACTTTCCCGAGACAGTAATTAGATAATCATTATGGCAGTAAGGCTTTTGACCATTATTTTAACATATGCTACTCAAGGTAACTGCATTTAGACCTGAATATGTCTTGCTGTACAAGCTCTATACAGTTCCCAAAGATTCCCTGGCTTCATTGTCTCCTAAATCTGATTTCATCCTGCAGCTTTGCTGTTCATTAGTGAGGACTCTGCTGTTGCCCAACAGGAAGGTTAAAAATATTCTAGGGATATGACTTGAGGTCTGTCAGCTCTATCTCACATAACTGAAAAATGATTGCAGTTAATTCTACTGTTCTGTTTTTATTTCTGTGGGTTTTTTTAATATTTTTTTCCTTTTTGAGAACTCTTCCCC